ACTTTCTTTTCCTTTCGGCAAACAAGACTCATGAACTCATTTTTTTTTTTTTTTTTTTTTGTTTTTTTTTGTTTTTCTCCGGTACCAGGAACCGAACTCACGACCTTACGCTTGCCAGGCAGGCGCTTTTGCCACTGAGCTAAATCCCCAGCCCCATGAACTCATCTTTTAGTGCACTAACCAGCAATCTTAAACCGGGGAATATGTTAAGGGCAAAGCCAATACTTTCTGAGAAGTTCTCCTTCACAGCTGTGGATGAACCAGTTTCTACATCCTAACTTTCAAATGTCCTCTTGTTTAAAAACTGATCTTCTGGGTAGGTGACAGTGAAGAGTATCCATGCTGTGATGACCATGACTCTGACAGACATGGAAGGAGGCTGTTCTTCACCAGCTTCCCCTCACCACTTTATGAAACTAATCCTTCCCTGGATCTTCCCAAGCCCTCGCCCAAAGATCTCAGGGGCACAAACTAAGAATGAATGAAAGTGTAGGTGCATATTATGGAGTAGTAATTTCCAATTCTTATTTAAAAAAAAAAAAAACACTAAATATGAAAAGCCCTCTTGAATGGGTGAAAGAAATATAAAATAGTGGGTTTCAACTTACACACTTCTTATTACAGAAAATATGACAGTGATTCATAAAACACTCTCAAGCGTAAACAATACAACCTGGAAATAGTATTCTATACAAGGGAAGGCCAGTAGAAATATGAATTTAAAAGGTGAAAGATTTATACGATCTGAAGAGAAACCAGAGTATAGAAATATAAATTTAAAGAGGTAAAAGTACAAAATTTTTAAGTATTGAACTTAATGCATTTTTAAAATAAGTAGAATCACTCGAAAATATTGCTGGTCTTTTGAATGCTGTAACAATGTAATTTAAAATGTCAATACTTATAATATGTTGAAAAATTATATCCCTTCAACTCCTTAAAGTTTGGCTAAAAAGCTTTAGTAATTAACTTAAAAGCATGCTTAAAGGGACAGAGTTTTACAGAACCCTTTAGGAGTTACAGAAGCAAAGAGTCAGAAGAACACTGCTCTACACCTTCAAAGGCTTTTCAAGATGAAATAGTGAGAAGGAAATAAGCAATTTCCCACCAATCTACTTTTGAGTAAGGCTACTTACAGGTAGAAAGGGGTTAATATTTCCTCTGCCTTCTTGATCCTAGACACATTTTCCGGAGTTGGTTCTACAGCCAACAGTTAACAAGACTGATAATCAGTTTAAATATTATCATAAAGAAATCACGTTTGATGAAACAAGTATAGTTTGATTTAAACATTACACAACAAATACAAGAATTGAAACATCACATTACCCAATAATATGCACAATTTTATGCTTTTATGTATCAGTTTTTTTTAAAAAAAGGGGGTTTTTTGGTACTGGGAATTGAACTCAGGACCTTGCACTTGCCAGGCAGGCATCTGTGCCACTGGGCTAGATTCCCGATGCCCCCCAAATAAATTTAATTAAAATAAATATCATTTCTTAATTGTACTACTGACTGGGTAATGAGAAGTAGCCTATCAAACCTCCCAAGAACCACTGGAGTACTTCTCCTCAGGTTCTCCAGAAAGACTACTAGGGCAATACCTACGAAAGCTCACTAATTTTGTGTTTATCTTATCACAAATAGATAAATTTCACCACTGGGGATGTAAACTGAATGCATCTCTCTAACCGACATTTCAGAAGAGACGTGCCTAATGCAAAGAACTGGACAGCGCTTCATATATTGTGTGGTTAATATCTTTAACGTGAGCAAACGTAGGAGGGAATTATCTTAACAGACACATCTGCGTATCTTAAGACCCCAAATTGTTTTTTTCCCTCTTTCTCTGATTCTGTAACCCCTCTTCTTCCCTGCTGCCTCTTTCCAGCCACTCCTCTGGGAAGCAGAAAGTCATCTAAATATGATGGATGATGCCAGCACTTAATTCGGTGTCTACACTGTTTTAAAAATATTGACTTTCTGGTGTTCAAGCTCTGAGAGACAGTGAGGCTATTTAGAGCAGACATCAGATCTACTCCAAACCTATTCCCCTTCAGGACAAGGAGATAGCAGAACCTGAGATAAGAGATCTTTGGAGGCACAAAGTCGGTGGAAATTCCACTCCACCATTTACCAGATATGAGACCTTCACTCAATTTCTCTGATCCCCAGCTTCCCAAAGTCATTACAGTGAGGCTGCGAATGATGTGAGATAATATCCATCAAACATCTGGAAATGCACCCACACTTAGAAGGCATTTAGTAATCAAGTTATAGAATTAAGATGTTTAATGTCCTTTCATGATAGCTTAAAATTAGCCAATAGTTTCTTCATGGCATAATGTCAACTACTAGCATGTTTTTCAACTTCTTTCTAGTCTCTTTTAAAACAAATGATTTAGAAAATGACTACCTTTCATGTCTAAGTATATGGTGTGCGTGTGCATGCTCGTGTGTAAAGCATGAAACACACACAATGAAGACTGCTCAAAACTTAGATGCTGCTGCTATGATAGCATTCAAACACATGCCAGTGTATCTTTAACATGTTCTAAACACTGCTATATAGCACTGCTTTAAAACAAGCAGAGACTCTATGATTGACTTTTCTTTTTTTCTGATACTGGGCACTGAATTCAGGGGCTGGAGGAGGCTAGACAAGCACTCTACCACCAACCTACATCCCGCAGCCCCTTTATTTGGAGAGGTCACCCAGCTTGGCCTTGAACACTACATTGTCTCACCTCACCCTCCCAAGTAGCTGAGATTACAGGTGTGCACCACCACACCTGGCTTATGATTGGTTCTACCCAAATTAAATTGCTAAACTAATACGTTTCTCCCCCCAAATTAGCAAAGATTTTAAAAAGGAAAAAGTTTCATAATATTTTAAGGGTGTGGGCAGAGTGGTATTCCCACAGTGCCCAATTACTATAAATGAGCGTAATTTTTAGTGTCTAAATCCAAATTAATGACAATGTGTATCACAAAGAATATACTCTAATCCAAACAAGTAGATTTTGTGCAACAGTGTTCATTACATCATAACTTATAATATAAAAAAATTAAGCAATTTGATGTTTACCACAGGGACTAGGTTGTACAGTATAGCCCTCCCCCAAAATATGCAGCTACTAAAATTCATGCTAACAAAATGTACTGAAATGAGACTATTAAGAAACAAGGTATAAAGTAGTATTTGGCTATGATTAGGAATTTGATGATTAAGCACTAAGAAGAAAAATAAAGAGAATTTCATCATAAAGAATGAGAATTACATACAGTGATCAAAATTTATTCCAAAGTTTGAAAGGACACAATGTTAACACTCACAACCCACGTCTTGATTTTAAAAAGAAGTGTGGGAAGAGTACACTGCTGATTCAGATCATTTTTATGAATGGCAAGGATAAGAAAGCGGGTAATAAAAAGAAGAGTTATGTCTGAAATTGATATTCAGCCTCTTTAAACTTCCAATTTAATGAAGCTTTGGACTTTTACCCACATGCACCAATGCTCTCTTGACTGGCTAAAAAGTTTTGGCAGCCTGTGCAGAGATGGAAAAGGTGAGGCCTGGAACCTGCCAATGTATACAGTTTCCACACCATGGAGGAAATGAGACATTGAACACACACACAGGCACAGACAGTCAGGCCTGCAGATGCACACTGAAAGCACAAAACACTCTCTCACCCCCACTCTAAGCAAAATACCTTAACAAAATACCTTAAATATCCTTCCCTTGGATTCAACAGCCATTGTATCTGCGCTTCACTACTAGTTTAAAAGCTCCTAGTTTATTCTCAATGCCCACCGCTACCATCACCACCCAGACAAGGCTAGCAAGCCTGCCAAGATTGTTCTCCAGCTTTTATAAACTTTTCTGCACTTATTTTCGCATCAGAGCTCCAAATGTCTAATCTGATCCTAAAGAAAAGAAACGGATTGAAAAATTCTTTGACATGTATATATCTCATGTGATGTAGCCCTTTACTCTCCCAAGGAGTAACACAGGTGCCTGTGAAGAAATGACACCTTTGTGCTCGGTGCTATTTTGACTTGGCCCTGTGTGTGAGTGGCCACAGCTCTATTTGAATGCCTGGAGCTGGGCTGCTCCACAGCTGGGCTGGCTTCTTTCTTCAAAATCTGAAATCCCATGAAGCCAAAACCTGCTGACATTATTGTGAAAACAAAAAAACCTTAACTGCCACCTTCCATGTCACCACTCTCAAACTGAAAGGTGTCTACTATCCGGGCAGCAACACATCTACATGTTTGCAGATGTCAGACTGCAGAGCCAACATCTGGGGGTGTTTGGTTGATTTCTGATGGTGAATTTCACAAAATACTCCTTTCTGAGTTCTAAGGCACAGGTTCTAAATCAATCTGTGCTTTAAGGACTTAATTTTTTTCTCCAGGCTGGAAATGCTCTGAGCTAATAATTAACCTTAAGCATACCATCACTTCTGCTAAAGACATTTTCTATTCACGGCCCTAAATTACTTTCAGTTGGGTTAAACAAAACAGACAAGCTGTAATAAAAGGTCTCTGAGAAATGTGATCCCTTTCATTGGTCACCCAGGAGCTTTTTCCTCTTCAAACTGCTGCTTCTTGAGGAAGGAGGGGTGGGTAAGGCGGGCACCCAAAATAAGATACTACCCAGAGAACACGCAGATTTTCGTAAGAAAGTTGCCGAAGATAGCTACTCAGGGTTTCCCAGGTTGAGTAATTTTTGCAGGCGGCTAGGGAGGGACTGCTCGCACCCAAGATTACTATCTGCAGGTTTCCCCTAGGTTGATTTATTTTTAAGGCGTCCTTTTAAATCACACTGCAAGGGCTCTGATTTCCACCTCTCGGGCTGCTGCTGGGGGGAGTTGAGAGCAACGCGCCAGGGCTGCGACAGCCGCGCGGCCAACTCGGTCGCCGGGGGCGGCAGCCCACTCCCCACCGGTCCCCCCTCCCGGGCACCGCGCGCTCGCCCGCGCCGGACTCACCGCTGTCCAGCCGCGCGATCTGGGGCAGCCGGTAGGTGCTGACCAGCAGGTCGAGCGGCACGGCCACCGAGCTCCACTTCACATCCTTGAGGCTGCAGCCCAGCAAGGGCGCCGGGTCCATCTCCCCGCCGCCGCCGGTGGCACCAGCGCGCCTCGGCGGCCGCCGCTGCTCCTGCTCGCACTCGCGGTCC